TATAGCAACCAAAAGCAACCGCGGTTAAGACTTCCGATGGATTTTGCTTCGTACCATGTTTTTTGATTGGTTGCAGAGCATCGTACGACGCAAATCGGATGCAGTGTGAATCCAGCATATTTTCGTCTTCGGGGTATTAATCATGAAACTTTTTCCCTAGGATGAAAAGTAAAAAGTGAAAATTTTTATCATTAAAGTTAATGGAGAAATTTTTCACTTTTCACTTTTCATCCTAGGGAAAAAGTTTCATGATCGATATGCTGATGGAGAAATTTTTCAATTTTCATTATGGGTGTATTCCGAACCGGGTTAGTTTAGCTTATTTTTTTTCCTAGATATTGGCAGCTCCGTAACTAAACCGAAAAGTGTTCCGAATCTGACGGATGGTCATATGTATGAACATACGGCCGTCCGTCGGATTCGGAACACTTTTCGGTTTAGTTACGGAACTGCCAACATCTAGGAAAAAAAAAAGCTAAACTAACCTGGTTCGGAATACACCCCATGTCTGTTCGCGTTGCTCGAAATCCCCAAATAATTTTGCACTTAAAATGAGATAGATATATATTCGGCGTTAAAAAGAGAGAAAGAGAAGATGGTAAGTGCAAAAAGTGCAAGCAACGCGAACAGACCTATTTTCCATCCTAGGGAAAAAGTTTCATGATTGAAAGCATCCAGAAAGACAACCGCTCACTGAACGCTCAGTGAGCTCTTTCATCTGATTGCTCTATATTTTAGAATCTAACAGAATATGTCAATCAGATAAAAGAGCTCAGTGAGCTCTTGTATGTATCTGTTTGGTTTATATTTTTAGATCTAATAGAATATGCCAATCAGATAAAAAAGCTCACTGAGCGCTCAATGAGCGGTCGTGCTTCTGAATGCACCCATTGGGCGCATTCAGCAGAAAAGAGCGCTACGAGAGCGCTTGCTGTTATTGGTGTATTCTTCTAGATCATCCTTCTAGATCAGAATTTTAAATCTGGAAAAATATACCAATAACAGCGAGCGCTCTCGTAGCGCTCTTTTCTGCTGAATGCGCCCATTGATGCCCTGAAAAACAGATTACGGCCAGTATAATCCAACCCTAATGCGGGCGAGTTTTTTAATTCATCGATTGATCAATCGCATGATGCGCAAGTGCAACATGTTGCATCTACGCATCATGCAATTAATCAATCGATGAATTAAAAAACTCGCCCTGCCTGTTTATATTGGCCATAACCGTATGCCGTATACCAGTATCTATAAGAATTGACTAATCACAGCCAAGTATTCCCCTCTTATTCGACTGTGATTAATTAATTCTTGTAGATACCAGCATACAGCATACGGTTACGGCCAATATAAATCAGGCATTAGTTGCGGTAGCTTTTGGTTGCTATACCAAAAGTACATAAAAAATCGCCTAAATTGGCTATTGGTACGTTTCCACTCAACACGCCACTCGTCGCGTTGTGAAAGAGAGAAAGAGAAAAGTTTTTACCTTCTCTTTCTCTCCTTCGACGACGCGACGTGTGACGCGTTCAGTGGAAACGTACCATGACCGATATTTCATGTGTTGTACGACAAGGCTTTTCAAGTCTGTTGATTGGTTGTAAAACTGAGAGATTCTCGGATCTCTCTGTCCTATAGCCAATCAACGTGCTTGAAAAGTTTGTCGACCGACACATGAAATATCTTTGTTATTGCGTTACATTTTGCCGCGCGGCAAACATTCAACTTACAGAAGCCAAGGAGCCATACTCTCGTCTCGTGATAGTCGTGATCGTGAATCGTGATCGTGAATCACTAATAACGACTTATTATAAAATTTCTGTGGAAAAAAAATATAAAGTGAAAAAAATAAAGAACTACACGCAAAACTTTGATTAATTGTAAGATGCATAACCAAGAAATGTAAGTATAAGTATATTTTCCTCAAACGACCAAAAGTCGCCCATTAATACATTTTTTATATCGACGTTAGAGTCCCTTACAGGAACTCTAATCGACATTAATACCTTTTTTGTTATATCGATCTTAGGATTATCATGACCAAGACTACATTTTTCACATAATGCTCACAATGCCCGCAAGTATCGTTTGTCTTTGTTAACATTTGATGATAAACAAGGATAAAATGATTCTACGAGCGTTGTGAGCATTAAGCCCATTCTACAATTGCGTAAGGGTAGTTGTAACTGGTTGTAGTTGTAAGAATTAACCGATCACAGTCGAATATTCTTCTTATATTTGACTGTGATTGGTTAATTCTTACAACTACAACCAGTTACAACTATGCTTACGCAATTGTAGAATGGGCTTTAAATGGGACGCAACCGAAATGTATTCATGGGTAAAAATTATATTATCATTATTTCCGATTGTTTTGTGACACACGTAACATTTTTTTATGTGTTTCATAGTAAATATTAACGTTTTCTTCCTTACAGGGATGATGAAAATCAAAATGCAGTTTTAGCAAAAATTGCATCAGAATCCGAAGCAAAAATTATTGCAAAGCAATATAAACCGCCTAAACCTAAACCATCACTGCCATCATCCTCCGGACCACCGCCACCACCATCGTCCTCCGGACCACCGCCACCGCCATCGGCCTCCGGACCACTGCCACCACCATCGTCCTCCGAACCACCGCCACCGCCATCGTCCTCCGGACCACTGCCACCACCATCGTCCTCCGAACCACCGCCACCGCCATCGTCCTCCGGACCACTGCCACCATCCGAAGTAAAAATTACTGCAAAGCAACGGCCTAAACTGCCATCGTCCTCCGGACCACCGCCACCGCTATCGTCCTCCGAACCATCGCTACCACCATCGTCCGTTGAATCATCAGATCCTGAGACAACATCAAAATCGTCAGAGCTTGCACCAAGACGTAAGTACAAAATAACAATCACCTCTGTATATAAGCATCAAGTATTTTATATGTGTACCAACTATAGTATCTTTTTATTAAATTATCTTAATATCAATAATAATATATTGAGCTGATGTTAAAATAATAAGGCTTGATTGTGCTAGCGTTATTTTGACTTTAAGCAAGGCTTAAACTAAGAAAGTAAAATTTTTTGTCCATGCAGCATAAATCTCAGCAATTGCTTGCAACATGCTAATAGTATAAAAAGATTGGCACACACGAAGCATGAACCATACATGAATACATTATGAATACAGTGTGTGGCAGTATAACTTCATGCTGTTTAACATGTTACATTAGCATGCTGCAAGGAACAACCACTTGGTATCTATGCCACGCACATGAAGAAAATTTTTTTATACAAAACTACAAATAAATTGTTTTATTTTAGCACCACGATGGAATAGAGGAGGACGAAAAAGAAAAAATAATAATCATGGACGGGGACGTGGACGTGGCCGCGGCCGTGGTCAAGGAGCTTCATCAGTCATATACATAAATATGCAGAATTGTAAGTGCAATAATTAAAAGTAAATTTCTATTTTGATTTTAAGAAATTGTTATTAATTATACACGGTGTTTTTAATGAACAGAAAATCGAAAAAGATACATTTTTTTAGATATGCCCATTTCTTGCTATTTTTTCTTTTTTTCAATGCACATGCCATATACAATTTGTAGTTGAAGTATAT